CACTTCTGCTACAAGAACACCAGTCCCAGCCTGAGGGCCCCACCCTCATGACCTCATCTAACCCTAATTACCTCCCAAAGCCCCCATCTCGCAATACCATCACACTGGGGGTTAGAGCTTCCACATAAGGATTTCAGCGGTGGGGGCAGGGCCAAAGTGTATACCACTGTGTTCAAATATTCTAAGTGCTGGGTAGGCCAACACAACTCACTCTATGGCGGTCAATGTTTATCTGGCTCAAAGTTATTGCTTTGTGACCAGATAAGTTCTACCCACCAAGCTTCCCCATATTTTATCACTTTAAAACCACAACAGGAGTGCACACACACACATGCGCGCACGCACACACATACACACACACTCCCACTCTTTATCAGTCTGTCCAGTGCTGCTGCAGGGGCTCCACCCACTGCTGGGGACGAAGGAATGGAAAATAATGCAGAGTCATGAGCAGCTCGCTGGATTGGATGGGAGAGAACACCCAGGGCACGTGGAGGGATGAGAGGAGGCTGTTGGGTACCAGGGCGGGTTGGAGTCTGTGATCAGTTTGATTCAAGCCCATTCGAGAGGCGATTGGGAACCACTGCCTACTTCCCAGGAGGGAAGATGCTCTGAGAGTAATTACGGCAACGGAAGATGATTCCTCTGCCTGTATGTAGAGCCGACAGGAGCAGGAGAAGCCTGCAGAGAGAAAAGGCAGGTGGAGCTGTCTGCTCAGGACTGTGCCGGGGGAGACACTATTCTGCGGCTGTGCTCGTGCTGAATTCTGGGGTGGGAACTGTCCTCTTCCTGCTCACACCCTCTCTTCCCTGCCTGACAACCTGCGTCCAGAGCCCTGCCGTTGTGAAGAGTCACAGCCTCTGCCAAGCTTTCGGGATGGTTACTGTTGATATCACCCCACTTCTCCAACGCTGGCTACGTGAGGGGTTTACACCGCAACTCGCGTTGGAGCCTTCCTGGGAGGGGGATTCTCACCCACATTTGCCAGGATAAGAAAATGAGTCTCAGGGAAGAAACACAACTTTCCTAACATCTCCCAGCTACACACTGACCCAGCCATGGCTTGGACCCAGTCTGTCTGATTTCAGCTCCCGAGCAGCCACTAAATACCCTCCTTGCCTGAACCCCTATATTTTTAGCCCAAATTCATCCCTCCCATCTCTGGCTCAGGGAGAACATTGCTGCTGCCTCTGCTGGAGCCCTTACTGAAGTCAATACTTTCCTGATCCCCATCTCTCTCTTGCCTTGAGGCTGAGATCTCCGTGAGGACAAAGACCAGGGTGTCTTCAGCCTTGTGTCTTCTGTAGCTCAGTGGCTGGCCCGCAGTGGGCACGCAGTACGTCGCAGGTGAATATATGAACGAATGCCCATTGGGCTGCTCTGAGTTCACTGTGGGGGGGGGGTGACACTGGACACTGCCTTTGAAGGAGGGGACTGTGACCGAGGAGCTGCTTTAGGGTGATCTGTTTCACCACATCTGGTACCTCTCTCTGCAGACTTCATCAGGACCTAGGACACAGCTGATAAGTCTTGAATCTAAACTCTGGATCCCCCAGGGCATGGGACACCTTCAAGAATCTTGCACAAATTTTGGAAATGATAGCTGTTTGGTGTTGAGACGAAGTGTCCCCAGCTCCTCCCCTTACTGTTTATGTCTCTAAGGGTGACCTCTCAACTTTCTCATAGATGCCGTAGTGTCAATGACAGGGCCTATGTCATAGCATTACTTTGAAGCTTAAATGAGTTCATATATGAAGCATTTACTTAACAAAATGCTGTATTCGTGTTAGCTATGATAAGTATTATTCTATTTCAAATATCCTTGGTAGAAAGAGCCATGGATTGGGAATTAAGAAAACTGCTTTTTTTTTTTTTTTTTTTGGCCTGAATCAATCTCATGCTGGAACTCCATTGATAATTCTCTCTTACATGTGGCTGTGGCCCTGTTGTAAGTCGTCACCCCTGAAATACATGTCATTCCATCCTCCCGTCTGTAGAGTGGGCTGTCCACTCTTGCCTTGTGCACCTCAGAAGGCTAAAGCGGAATGTGATCATGCCTTTATTTTATTTTATTTTTTTCCAGTTTTTATTCAGATAGAGTGGGAGGGAGAGAGAGGAAGAGAGAGAGAGAGAGAGAGAGAGAGAGAGAGAGAGAGAAACATCGATGTGAAAGGGACACATCGAGTGGCTGCCACCCGCACTACAAACCAGGGCCGGGGACAAACTGCAACTGAGGTACGTGCCCTTAGCGGGAACCAAACCCGGGTCTCTCTGGACTGAAGACCGACGTTCTAACCGCTGAGCCAAACTGGCCAGGGCCGATCATGCCTTTAAAAAACGTTAACAGCGATGGTCGCAATATCAGTAGTATGTTCACATGTGTAATATTTCAGGAGCCATATGGTCTGATTAAATGGTGGGTAGTAACCAAAGCATCCTGCTAACCAGGAGTAATTCGGTGCTAACAACAGCCTATGTGCACGGGAGAATCAGTGCATCAGACACAGGCCGGCGCCTGATGCTTCACTCACTCTTTCCTCGTCCCGTGCGAGCCTTTCGTCTGCCTGTCTTACTAGTACAGCCTGGCCTAGAATCAATGTCCCCGAGGAATGCGCGCTAGCAGTGGATCACAAGGATCACTGGCTCCTCACGGCTAATGAGCGATTCCGTCCGCCACCATGCAGACCCCCAGACCGTCCACTCTCATCCCGTGGCCAAGCGAACTGCAGAGAAGCACAAGCACCCCGCCATGGTGTCCCCTCAAATGTTCTATTTGCAGAAGCCACGACGGCTAAGAACGGAGGCTGAGATGTTTCTCTTTCCCCACACCCAGTTTTGGTTCACCCTGTGCTTCCGATTAACCATTTATCTGTCAGCCCCCACCCCTGCACCCCTGCGCATGAGCCCCAACCCCTGCGCATGAGAAATTGACAAAGACTTCAAAACACGGCAACAAACAAAACAAAACAAAACAAAAACCCCCACTAAAGACTGCTTAGGAAGTGTATCTTTTGCCAATGGAGAACTTTCCTCTTAAATTTCAATATTTAGGTTCACTTACAAACGTTAGGCTTTCTCAAAAGCATTTTCTCTTCTCCCAATTCCATATGGCCAGGGGGTTCCTATGTTTAAAAAAGTATTGGAGAACAATAGAACAGATACCTTTAAACAATCAATGTAGTTTGTATAATCATTCAAAAAAAATAAATGAAGGATAAAATTAAGAAGGAGGAGAAAAGAGGAGAGGGAGGGAGGGAAGGAAGGAAGGAAGGAAGGAAAGAAGGAAAGGAGGGAGGGAGGGAGGGAGGGAGGGAGGAAGGGAGGGAGAAAAAAAGCAAAAAACAAAACAAAACAAAAATCCTCAACTATCTCAAAGTTAGCAGATACCGCTTTCTTTAGCTATGCCCCTCTGGAACACTCTGGGATCTTTAATTACAGCAAAATGCCAGCAGAAACTTCTCTTTGTCTTTGGATCTCAATGCAACTCTGGATAGAGCCCCCCAAGAGAGCAATAGATATAATTTTATTAGTTTCAGCAGGACACAGACATGGCTGCTCAGCAAAGATTTTTATAAGAGGCGGAGAGAAGGCAGCTACACAAAAGCCGAGACAAATAGAACTGCAAGCGGATTTTATTAATGACCAGTGGGACCTGGGAGCCGGAAAGTTTGGTGTAGTCACACCTCTTCTGAGGTTGTATATTGTTTTAAAAGGGAGGGAAAACGTGAGCTGATAATGAACTCTTACTTTTCAGCAACTGCTTAATTGCCACTGGTAACAGAACTTTCAGAGGAGAGACTTACGAGACCGTTTCGATGTAACAACTATTATGCCAAAAGCAGAGGTCCATGGAAGCCCACAGAAATAAAGGTTATCATTATGGAGGGGGTTTTACCAGTGAGATTAGCAATGGGATGAAAGTCTATACATTCTGCTAGCTTAGGAAGATGGACCATCTCCCTTGTTGGCTTGAAGCTTTGTGAAGTATCGCAACAGCATACCTTCCAGATCTGTATTCCATACATTTAACACCACAGCAGATTTGGGCTCCCCTCGAACCGAGTGACTGTCTCTAGGACATGGCCTACCTAGGAATACCTCGACAAATCTCGTTTTGCATCTTGTTTTAAGTTCTTAGTCTATAAACCAAAGAAATGAGTGTCATTTCCAGATTGGGGTTTTAAGAAGTGGGGGAATGTTTCTCTTTCTCTCTTCTCTTTTTTCTATTTTCTCAGGATGAACCAAGATCACCCAGGCACTAAAGGATGTCAGAGCCACAGCTGGAAGGAGCTCGGGTCTCTGCAGCATCATGTAGAGGACAATCACTCGCTGTCCAGAAACAGCTATACTGAACCATGCATGGCATGGCAGACGGTGACATTTTGAGGTTTGTGTGTTATAGCAGCTATCCTAAACTAATACACTATTGTCGTATGTGAACTTAAATTGTGGGTATTTTTGCTTAGCATGAAGGTTTAATTCAGCGTGTATAATAAATAATGTAAAGCAACTCTATTCAACAAACAGGCATTACGTGTCTTTGCTAAAAGCTGTCTGGGAATAAGAGGAGGAACTGCTGTGAAGGTCTCAAGCTCTCTTGGAGACAGAGTGGTGGTGAAGACCAGGCAGGCACAAACAGGAAAGATTGCAATGAGTCTTTAATGCCCCAGCTCACTTCCGAAGGTGGCTGTGTCACCAGGACTATCAGTGAGTGCGCCTCTCTCCCTCGGAAGGGATTCACCAATGTCCTTTGAGCACAGGCCTTTAATCAAGGTCAGTGTTTCCAGGCACAGTGACTTGACTACAAGCCTTGCACTTAAATCACAGTGTTTCTCCTGCTTTGGGAAATGATCTTAAAGACCCTTAAAAAAAAAAGACTACATGGGAATCACTGATAAACTGGTATTGATTTTCACAGATCACCCTCGTCAAAAGGATTTATTGATGTGTCAATGCATGTTGTCGAGAAGATCATAGCAGGATGGCTTTGATGGATTTATAAGAAATCTATGGGCTTTAATACACTCAAAGGTAAATAACTAACAAGTACTGCACATATCGATTCTTGTCATGTGGTCAATGCAATCTTTAGCCCACTAATTGTCAGTATTGACAAACAGTTCATGAGCTAAATGAGCAGCTGGACATCCACTCTGAGTGGAACGTTTCCAAGTGGCATTCACCTTGCTGTTTTCAGCCGAATGTTCATGGAACAGCCTTGCAGGTAATCGGCTCTAGGGAGAGAGACATGCGTGGTAATTAATTTTTTTCTCATTGTCAACTGTAACTTTAAGAAGAGAGAGGGCGGGGAGGGAGAATCTCGTCGCAGTGCACAAACCTGGACCCCAGGTCCATGACCCAAGTATAGTGAGGCATATCCCTAAGGCACCCCTCAAATGCCTCTTCCCAGGAAAAACCTCCCCAAATCACACCACACCACAGGGTTTCTATCACTTCAAACCCTATACTATCCCCAGGCAATTCATCACAGTATCTTTGTTGAACTTTATCTATTTATCTATGTATATTGAACATATCTATTGTGTTATGACTAAATCTTAGCTTTTCAAATACATATGAGCTTTTCGAATTTGGGAGGAAGATACAAGATCTCATTATGAATTCCACTGAGAAGATAATACAGCTATTAATAATCTCCCTGGGAAGATTTACAATCAAATTTAAAAAAGGTTTTCGAGGGTCACAGAAGGCGTAGGGAGTCCATGAACCCCCATAACAGATGCAATCAAACCAGATTCAAATTCTAGTCCACTACCTCCCAGAGGTCTGACCTCCAATAAGTTTCTTAATCTGTCCATCTACCCAGCCTTAATACAAGAATAACCGGTCACGGAACAGGTATGTCTAAAGGTTGGGTGAACTGATCCATGGATGTGCTGTGCACCTGGTATCTATTCTACAAAAATCTTCAGATGAGTCAGGATTTCTGAGTTTATTTCTTCTCTTGTGTAGAGCACTAATCAGGAGTCAGGTGCAGAGCTACTGTATGTACCAAAGTCAATCCATCCCTGTCAAAAGACCCTTGCTTACCATAGCTGCTCAGTTAATGCTTCCAATAAATTGATTAGAATACTTACCACTGAATAGAACTGTCTTTAAATCATTCCACTATATTATATTAATCAACCATTGAAATATTGCTCCTAACTAAACTTTTTAATACTATCTTACAAGCCTCCATTGTACACCCATTAAACTTGAAATGAATCTTTTAGAAAAAGAGTATTTATTGTACCATATTTTTTATAATGATCATCCAATCTATTAGTACTGTGGAAATGTATCATTTTAAATACAGTTTATCCATCCCAAAATGTATACTCACTCCACCTTAAACATATACATTGTTTTTTTTTTTTAGTACATGCCCCTAGCCACTAGGGCTTAGTGGGAACTGAACTCAGACTCTCTGGTCCGCAGGCCGACGTTCCAACCACTGAGCCAAACCGGCCAGGGCTAAACATATACATTTAATTTAACAGAATAAGCATTTCGCCTGGCAGGTGTGGCTCAGTTGTTGAGCATCAACCCATGCACCAAAGGTTGCCAGTTTGATTCCCGGTCATGGCACATACTCAGGTTGTAGGCCAAATCCCTAGTGGGGGGCATGCAGGAAGTGGCCAATCGATGTTCTCTCTCATCAATGTTTTTATATCTCTCTCTTAAAATCAATAAAGAAAACACTTTTTTAAAGAATAAACATTTCATTTATAGTATAATATAAACATATCAACTTAGGCCTAGGTCTGCTGCAAAACACTTAGTTGTCCCTTGGGGAACAGTGCAATGAAAATGCACTTAGGAAAAAGAGTCAAACCAGGTATACTCGGTCTTCGAAGGTACTTTTTTAAACTTGGAAGACTGACACAAAGAATATTGTATTATTCTAGTTAACAAAAAATTGAAGTTCATTCATAGGCTTATGAAAATCTTTCCAGTTCTAGCCATCAATTTTTTTTTTCTGGCCTCCCAACCCTGCCCCATCATGCCTTCATGTCTATTTCACTAATGGGGAAATTTGGGATTAGCACAAATAACCTTAAACTTGATCTCCGGGATGAAGTCTTCTGCCCATCTTTTATAATTTCTCACCATATTTTCTGATAATTGAAGGTTAGCACATTGGCATTAGCCAAGGCATAGAGCCCCTGTGTCTGGAGATAATGACTGACACGCCATTGTCAGAGATGTAGCTTCTGGAAGTGATATCTTGTCTGATCTCACAAATGTCTCCAGTGTCCAATTATCACCAGCCATTTGGGTGAGTGACAAGATATCAAGGGGAAATTCTTTCCAGATCACTTTCTCTCCCTCTCTCCTTTCCTTTTTCTCTTAACACAGGAAGGGCTCCTTATTATGATCTAAGCAGTATGGGCATTAACTCTGTGCTTGCAGTTGAACTTCTAATATAGGATGGTTTATTTTGTTCTCCCAAATCCAAATTTGATCATCTGCCCACCAGGAGAGCTACAACTGTTCTTTGACCCAGGCTTTAATCTCTTGCATCCCTAGGGCTCTGACCTTCAAGGGAAAAACAATTAAAAATGATAAATACTTAAGACTGGAACCAATAAATATATATTTATAAAATTAGGAGGAAAAAAACATAAGAAAGAGTAACTATTCTGAAATCTTTGGCTTCAAAAATAAGTTGATCATGAGCTAGGATTAGAAAGATTAATTAAAAAGGAGAGCATAAAATACTACGATATTTCATATTTCATTATTATGAAAATGCACAACAATAATTGCATTCACCAGACGCTTCCTTCCAGGGAGCACTAAATATTATGCCAACATTTCCTCATTAATCTTCTTCATGCTCTTGCAAGATGGTTAAGAAACAAAATTAACATTCACACTTTACCAATGGGATACAGACTATAAAACGAGATGTTGATGACAGATACTTCTGACTCTTTGGTGTGCCTCAGTTTATTCATTTGTATGACAAGAACACTCATAGTACTTCATGCATAGGGTCATTGGGAGGAGTGAATGAGTTCGGATTCAGAAAGAGGCTTCGATGAGATCCCAAGACGTGATGAACACAGGACATGGGAGAGGGTATTATTATTACTGTTGGAATGCATGATGTAAGCAAGAGAAACTCACCTTCACATTTCCTTGGAACCTCCACGCTCAAGAGAGAAATGAACTTCTTCATCGCACTCAACAAGCTCCTACTGAACAGTGGTGTGGTTAATACCCCATGGTGTCCACTGGTCCCCCAGTTCTCCCAAGCCTGTTCTCATCCTCTGAGCTACCCCTGTAATCCTCTAATAAATTATCTTCTTAAGTTAACAAAAGTCACATTCTGTTTTCTGCAACTTAAGAGCCCAAAGTGATGCAACACTCCTATCTCTTGTTTCTTGTCCATTCTGTCAACAGGCACATTGGAAATTTATCAAGTGCCAGCTGTCAAGCTAGGAATTATGGTTAAAAATGTAATCAGAATGCCCTGACTGGGTCGTCTCAGTGGTTAGAGCATCAGCCTGCAGACCAAAGAGTTGCGGGTTCAATTCCAGTCAAGGAATTGCCATTTGGTCCCCGGCCCTGGTCAGGGTCATTGGGAGGCAACCAGTCAATGTATCTCTGTCACATCGATGCCTCTCTCTCTCTTTCCCACTCTGTCTGAAGATAAATGGGAAAATATCCTTGGGTGAGGATTTAAAAAATAAAATATAATCAAGATGAAAAAAAATAATGTAAGCACTTAAGAGAGTTAAATTGGGAGGAAGTGTATATATATATATATATGAGGGGCATCAAAAATAGGCAGTCAGAGCTAACTAGAAAGGACAGAAAGCTTCCTACAGAAGGCGGGGCTTCTTCTGGGTCTCAGTGGGATTTTCACCCCACTCAAGCATGCAGAATCTAATAATGGGAAGAAAAAAACTCTGGTGCTCCATTCAAAAGCAAATTTATTTTCCTTCTAAAAAGCAATGACGGATTTATGAAGAAGAAGAGTATTTGGGGAAATGCAATTCTATATATTCAGATCATTCAAGTGTGCTACTTAGCATGTGTTCACATCAAGCCTAAACATTATCACAGAGCAGAAGAACATGAACTGTAATAAACATTTTTAATTGCAAGTCCAAAGCAAGGTACTGTGTTTTCCATTGCATCCCAGATATATGACTGGGATGACAGTGCAGAAACCAGGTTTTCTGACTGAAAGCTATACTAATGCCGTATTGCTTAGTACCCTGACTAGACCAAATAGTCCAGATTCTAAAATCACCTCCAAACTATCCCTGATACTAGTGATAGGGTCATGGGGTGGGAGGGGGGTGAAAAGCATAGAAGATCCTCCTTTAATTGTTTCTCCCAGCTTCAAAGGGGTTTACTATCCATAATATTCTACTGGGCTCTAAGGACCTCTAAATTTTTATTGACATTAAATGAAGTGTTGCTATCTAAGGTTAGATGGTATTTATTGAAATCCTGTACCCCTTCCAGCAAATCATCTGCTTCCCCAAAGCCTGTCTGGCAGGACCCTCCTACCTCAGGGCTTTGTGCAGACTGTAGTTCTGTCTAAACGGCCCGCCCCATCCCTTCCCTTCCTACCTACGTGACCCACTCTTCAAGCCTGGAGTCAAACATCATATTTTTAGAGAAGAACCCCTTAAGGCAATCCCTCAGTACTAGATCCCTGTTGTCCCTCTCACAATTCACTTTGCTTTTTCCTTGTAAGGTGACAAAGTTGTGACGATGTGTGGCACAGTGATCTGATTGAAGATCCCCCCACCTACCTGACTGTAAGCTTTGGAAGAGCAATGACTATGTGTAATTTCCATTAGATCTGCTTCCCTGAGTGAATGGATAAGTGAACAAATTGAGTTCTAATATATTTGGCTTAAAATCATATTGATACCATTATAATTAACCTAGTTATTAATAACCAGAAAAGAGCAAAGGGAAGGCCAGATATGATTGGCATGCCATTTGTGCAGCTTTGCCAGGAAGCTGCAGTTTAACACTCCCCAGGGAGCCATGGGTCGGTT